CACTTAAAAATAATCAGTGCTTAACTACTGCAGAACACAAAAGAAGACATTTTGGAGACAACATTGGAGCCATTTGACTGTAAAACTAAGAGACAATTTTCAAAATACCTTCTTTTATGTTCCACAGAATAAAGAAGTTCCTTTGAATATCATATATGCACGGATGTTTGCTGCCTCCAGTAGTATATAAAGTTCAGGTTATTAAACTATGCTCCAGTGTCTTCATAGCAACAGAAATTAGAGCAACAGGTCTGTAATCATTAGACAGCTTGGATTAGACGACTTTGGTGCAGAGGTTACCACGGCTAATTTGAAGCATTGTGAGTTGCTGAGGTTAAAAATAGCTGTGTATGCTTGAGCAGCAGAGGTGCAGGGTTTATATGGTGCACGGACAGGGATTTGAGCTTCTTGTTGTGGCTGAAGAGGGTGTTTCGATTAATTTATTGCAGAAAGAATAAATGCTTTTATATTGTGTGAATATTAAAGGTTTTTGTTTATACTGTTGTGAAGGTTTGTATACACTGGTTTTATAAAAGGTGGTTGCTTAGGCAAACATCACTATTATTAAATTATAAAAATTATACCTCAGATCAAGCAGTTTGTTCAGTGTTCAAAGAGACTATTATCTCTACTTAAGGTGTGATCACATTAGCGAAATTTTGTGGCAAACACATTGTCAATTGTCAAGTGATGTATGAAGCAGCTCAAACAAAAGTCACTTTCAAACCAGCTTTCTGTTGGTCAACATGGCGAATACAGTTGACTGAAACAACTTTATTTCACGCATTAAAATTGGTGAATGTCACCGCAGCTTTACCAGTGTAATCACTTTGAAACTGAGAGAAAAAAAGCAGTGAAAGGTAATTCTGGTGCATTGAAGTTCTCCTGAGAAGTTTGTATTTACAAGGTGGGAACATAATTATAATGTCAATTGCGTTCAAATCACTTTGTTCAGAGCAAGCTGGCAATGTACCGTTTCTACAAAAATACAGCCAGGTTTTTTTTTAACTCTACTTCTACAATATGAAATTTAAAGAATGTGCATCAGTTACGTTCTTCACTTTTTTATTCATGAAGGTGCTGTAGTATACAACGATGAATCAATCATATTTTAGATATTATTGAAACTTAGTTTTAGTTTTATTTATAAATTTGTACCTTCAACTTCAGGCACTGCATCCATTTCCAAGTTTCCCATAATTACGACATTGTGGTGAAGTTCACATGCATTCATTTCATAAATACGATCTTCGCGACACGACTTGAACGCAGCATACCCCATGGCTAATACTCACCTTCCAACATCAACCTTTTAAGCAGATCAGTTTTGCGAACCTCACATAAGGTTAATTAATCTTTATGACCCAATCCATGCCAGCTACAGTTTGGCTGCATCCGCAATCACATATAATTTCACACATATAGGTGAAAAACAGAATGTGAACAAAGCAGTGTGTCTGAATTCACGGTGTTCATAAAACAGTAAGTGAAAAAGTATTCTGAAAAGAGAGATTCTAAAGCGCGCATCTGAGGGACACTTTACTATCCCATGAAGCCACGGGAGAGGATTTGTGAATGACACTGGTAGGTCACATGACAATGACATCATGAGAATTGAAGTATGTCTGGATTACATTCATACTACACACATTTATATTATATAAAACATACTTTTTAACAGTTGTGAAGCAAGGACGTACACTCTCAGAAAGAAAGGTGCAAAACTGTACCTTTTCGGGTACAAATGGCCGTCACTGGGGTGGTACCCTAAAGGGTACCGTTTTGTACCTCTACTTATGGCGCTTTTCCACTGCATGGTACGGCACGGTACGGCTCGGGACGGTTCACTTTTGGATGAAAAAGTTTTTCAGGAGTCGCGGCAATAGAGGCGGCGTAACTATAATGACGTGAATAATCCCGCCCACTCTAAAGCGGTACTGAACTGCAGTGGAAACGCAAACCGTGCCGAACCATGCCGTACCGCGCAGTGGAAAAGCGCCATTAGAGGTACAAAATTGTACCTTATAACTTTGTACCATTTAAGGGCCAATTTTGTACCCCAAAAACACAAAAGAACCACTAGATTTTGTTTATTGAAGTTAAATAATAAAAAAAATAAAATAAAAAAAAGAACCGCTAGATTTAAATCAGCACAGCCAGCAAAGGATCGAATGCAACTGTTTTGACAATTGTGCACATTACAAATGTACAAAATTGTACCTTTCATCCTTGGGGAGGCTAAATAAATAATACTTCAGAAATTGGCTTACAGTTATGCAATTTTATTTATTTTTACAAAGAGAATTAATTACATCACACCTTAGTACAGCAAGTGTCAAAAAACAGATGTTCAGTGCACAGACGAACACATCAGACATTACTCAATAATAAACATACTCATAAGAATAAAGCAGTCATTTAAAACAGTAAAACCTTTAACAGGAGTACAAGAAATTGTCTAAGGTGGGCGATATACCAGTAGACACGATTAACCGGAAGAAATTTGGCAACTAGTAGAGATTTTGGACTATTGTCTCTATTGTGGTTACACTCATGCTTTCTGTGTTCGAGTTTTTTTTTTTTTTTTTAGGCTATATTAGTTTTTTTGTGATATTGACACTGGTGACAAGAATTATGAAATAAAATTTGTGAAATAAAATTACTCATATCGTGATATAAGATTTTGGTCATATCGCCCACCCCTATTTTATACTGTACAGTAATTACAAATTCATTTGGACAAATACAAATAAAAATTTACTGTTTAACATTGATTTAAACCTTATTAAATAGGCTACATCAAGTACAGCACATTTTGAGGTTTACAGTATAAAGCTGTTTGTCTTCAGCAAGAATACTGAGTGCTTATAAATAACTTTGTAGGTATCTAATGCCTGATAATCATCCTCCTCACCTGGAGAGAGTACAGTCCATTATTCATCCTCACATTGCACACAGAAATAATCACAACATAAAGCAACAGTTTCATTATAACATTCTTCTTTAACTTCCACAAGCAGAGGCAGAGGATCATCAATCACAGGCTATTGTAACGCCGTCTGTTTATGCTTTTGGTAAAAATGACATCTAAAGGTTTCAGAATTTGAAAATGTTCTCTGACAGTCATTCAGACCACGTTATTGAAAAATTTGCCTCATAAGCATGAATAGGAACAATGTGCTGCATTCACTGGACAATCATGAATATTCTCCAAGAGCATTTAGTGAAACAGAAAATGCAGGGCATTTTTGCAGGTGTTAATGTAAGAGGTTGATTACTCTTAACTGTGGTAGGTAGAGGGTTGTCACCATCCACAGTAAGTTCTTCAGTCACTGGCTTCCTATTCTTAAACTTGGTGAAGATGGTTTGCTCTAAATGAGAAAACACAAATCAGATTTTATCTGTGAAATTTTCTCAGCAGATGATTTTACTGATGGAGAAAAATACTCTACATACATAAAGTGTAAGATAGTTATTACATTATACCATTTGTATGTGGGCACATTAAATACATTTTAAGATTTATAAAATACATTTATCACAGACATATAAGTCAGATAGAGAACAATATGCTCACCTTCCCAAGCACAATGCAGTGTTCGAGCTTCTCTCTGAACAAGGCTGGCAACATGAGAAGTGCTGCTTTTAAAACAATTCCTGAAACACAAGACGTGACATACAAATGAATATGCAGAAATCCATCCAAGGATAGAATTGGATAGGCTTCATAAAGAGGACAAAGTTGAAGAGTCAGTTACCATGATGGTCTTCACTGAGAGATTCCTCTCTAGCCTCTTTGTGCAGCATTGATAGAGATTTCCCTTGAGCAAGCCGTAGCACACTGGACGCAATGTTTCTTGAAAGTGGTGGCATAGATTAACAGATTAATACAGGAAACCAATTTCTTGATGAAGCTGCAAATAGTTAAGAAAAACACAAGCATAAGTAAATCAGAAGATTTTTTTTTACAGTTTCAGTGTCCAGTGTGTAATTTTAGAATTATAATTCTACACTAACCTCTGATGGACTCTTCAAGAATGGATATTTGTTTACAGCGTCTTCAACAGTCATCTTACTAGTAATCTTCTTTCACCTACAGGCAAAGGTCTTCTTTATTCACTCTTCAACAAAGCGAGTATCTGGCTGTGTCCTTCTGTACTGGTCTTGCAGGACTTTACCTGTCCCATTATTGATGTAACATTCTCTCCAACAACATCAATTTCCTTGTGCATAGACAAACACAAAAACAATCAGACAGCAAGTTATTTCTCATTTCTACGCACGAAAAGGTTTGTAATAATGATACATTTGAGAACAATACACTGGTTACACGTGGCACTGTAAAAGATGATAAAAATATGCTCTCACCAAAGGCAGGTAATCTTGTAGTCTTTTTCCTTCTTCAACATCCTCACATTTAAACTTGCGTTTCAGAGACATGCACCATTTGTGCTATTTAGAATAACATTTGGGCAACAAACAAACAAACAAAAAAAACTAAAAAATGCTTGAACAGAACATTATAGGACATTATAAGAAACCCGTCTACTTACATATCCATGTCTTTTAAAAAGGGGTACCTCAGAATCAGGCCCTTAGCCATTTGAACATACTCTTCATTAGTTGAAGACCTGCAGAAATATTTTAAATACATGAGTACAGCTTTAAATGTTTAAAACTGAATGTAAGTCATTAAGACCTTGGCAGTTAAAGAGGAGTACTTACGTCTTGTAATGAGACATGTTTTCATACAATGTTCTAATAATTTTGTTCCTATGTGCTGCTGAAAGCCTGCACTCCTTTTGGTCCAACTTAGTCGGAACATTAAGAGAGAACCTTAGAACTTTAAAAACTGCAGGAAAAGCTGTTGATGGGCTGATATTACTATGGTAAAAAAAAGAGAAAGTAATAATTAGGCATTGCAATGTCTCATATGTACATAAAATAGTACAAATAGTTATTAATACTAAAAAGACAAATTATTACATTAACAATGACACTAACTTACCAAGCAAGTTTTACTTGAAATATGTACCCCACCCTTTTCTTGATCATTTTAGCGTTAACCTTGATGAATGACTACAGAGTAAACATAAATAGTGATGCATAATTCCATATTAGAAGCCCGAATGACCATCAGTGAAGTAACAGAACACAAATATGTCATCAAGTGTTTTTTTTAACAAATACATATTCGCTTGCGTGCTGTCCTTTTACTTTGTTAATCACTTCCCTGTTGAAAAAAACAGCATATGCTGGTTAGGTATGTTTTGACGCTGGGATGCTGGTTTAAGCTGGTCCTTTGCTGGTTTAAACTGGTCCTTTGCTGGTTTATGCTGGTCATGTGCTGACAAAGGACCAGCAAAAGGACCAGCATAAACCAGCAAAGGACCATCTTAAACCAGCAAAGAACCAGCATAAACCAGCAAAGGACCAGGATAAACTAGCAAAGGACCAGCATAAACCAGCATCCCAGCGTCAAAACATACCTAACCAGCATATGCTGTTTTTTTCAACAGGGTTGCTTGCCATTTGATGGCTGAATTTAGCACAAATGGCCGTGTATAAAGTTAATCTGAGTGAGTGCGCTGAGCAAAATTTGTGCGGCCCAAAACGTCGTCACACTCGCAACGGCTGTTAAAAAAGTCTCAAAATATAAAACGTTACATAATCACTAATTACAATGATAAACATTTCAAATATATGCAGAGTTGGCGCTAGTTGTTATTAAAGTAATACAATATGAGAGGCTGTGTAAATATAACGTTAGTCACACCAAGAAAATCCTCGAGAAAACACTCGATTATCTTAAGACTTTTAAACATGTAACAGCGTACTTACCGTCAAAAACACCGTCCTCTCCTCTTCTGTGACGTCTTTACACAATTAAATTAGCTGTAATTTACACATCTCCTCAGCTCCATCCTGAAGGCTAACAGTTAACGTACACCAGCCAGACAACTTTTCGCGGGCTTCACATGGGAACACGACACCGACTCAAAAATCAACAGAACATGGCGTACGTGTAAAAATAATAATATATAAAATTATTCCGCATTTACCTGAGAATTGTAAACTCCAAAAAACACTCTGCGTTGTATTTCATGCGAAGTTCTGTCAGAACAGGTCCGCAAATTCACTCGCTTCAGAACTGAATGACTGAAGCGAAGCGAGGGAAATTCTCAAAGCGACAACAACCATAACGTCTGCATAAGCAATACGATACATTTTGAATAAGTTACTTCGGTATAATTGATTGTTGCCACTCCGCATGGTAATTTATTTAATCCAGCTTCTTAAAAAAAAAGTATAAAGTGGTTGTAGAAAGTTTTCTTACATACTTTGAAAATATATATTTTTAACATTTAAAGCCATTGATATGTTTTGATGTTATCATAAACTGACATTAAATTAATAAACAAAAACGTAGACATAAGTTATTTTAGTTGGGCCTAAATTAAAAAATATATATATATAATAATAATAATAATAATAAGTAAAATTTCAAAGGTACAAAAATGTACCTCTCACATCTGATTGTACCTTCATGACTCTCTTTGGGTACCTTAAGGACCTATTATGTACCTTTAAAGGTACAGTTATATGTTTTGTTCCCCTAGGTAGGAACAAAATTGTACCTTCACCGTACCTTTTTTTCTGACAGTGTAGAAGTATCGACTCTGAGACAATGTGATTTCAGACTCAGCCGTTTTGTGCTGAACCTGGTGTATTTTAATCAATTTTTGACAGGAATTAAAACGAGTGTGTTAAATGCATTGCACTGTAGTTTAACAACATACAGATAGTACAGCTGACAAAAAAAAAAAAAAAAACTTTAAGTAGATAAAAACTCCATGAAACCATTGTGAAAGTTGTGAAAATTGTTATCTGGGATATGTATACAGTGCGCGCCATTGACAGTAACCCTGTGTCCGAAATCACATACTTCCTTACTATAGGCGAAAAACAGTAAGAGAGGCGAGTAGTATGCCCGAATTCATAGTATTCTAAAAACAGTAGGCAAAAAGTACCCGGATGACCTACTATACCGCCCAGATTCTGAAGTGCGCATTCGACACTACTATCCCATGAGGCCACGGGAGAGGATTAATGAACAGCAGTGAAGCGAAGCAACTGACACAGGTAGGTCATGTGACAGTAACAACATGGTGGATGTAGTATGTCCCATAGATATGTATAGGTAGATGCCCCATTCGACTGTGCCAAGCATGTAGGCACCTTCCGCCATCTTTAACAGTCAACTTGACGTCATTCACCATAATAATCAATGAAAATTCGAAGATGCCACAATCCTGCACAGCCGATGGTTGTAAAAACTGCCAGGATTTAAATTCCCGAAGAAACGGGATAACCTTTCACAGGTGAGAATGTGTTGGTTTGTGTTTTTAAATCTATTAACTCAATATTACAAGTTTTGAAACATTGGTAACTTATGTTACTGTTATGGTGAATGATGTCAAGTTGACCCTTGGAATATGGCGGACAGCTTAAATAGCGACCCATAGTAACAGTCGCTAATGAGGCATCTACTATACATATCTATGGTATGTCCGGATGTCATTTATACTATATAGAACATACATTTTTTATCGGTCACGAAGTAAATTCAAATTCAAATGTAGTACCTACTCAGACAGTAGCCTTCGCGATTTCGGGAGCACCGTAAGTCTATCACTCACAGCTTCGTTTTCATCTGTAAAATTCAATATGGCGTGTAACCTCCCTTACGAAAAATAAGTTTATTCAAGTGTGCTATTAGTATACTTCTTTTAAACTAAAAATAGGAAAGTATACTTTTAGTCTACTTTTTATGTACTTCTCAGAAATGGGCTTTATGTACTTCTCAGAAATATACTTAAAATTACATTTAAGTATACTTGACTTATACTTAGAAAAAGTCTAAATATATTTGAGCTATACTTGTGTTCCTAGAATCCATGTTTTCATTGTTATACTGTAGAGGGCGCTAGTACACATCTTCTGTACAGAATTTCCAAAAAACACAAGTGAAGAAGAAACCGAAACAACAGATGCTTCCACATGTAATCTAACACAATCATCAGACATAAAACAGCATCAAAACTGTGTAACTTACTAAAATAAACTTGAAGTATACTACTTTTTGGTAAGGGCTGCCTAAGGTCTATACAAATTAAACTTCTTTAGAATTTCAAAAAAAATTCAGGTTTATGTGTAATTATTAAACATTTGACAAATGACAAAAATGATAGAGTGGCATATCGTAAAAGCTTGCAGCTCACCTTCCCCGACGGCTTGTTCGCGTTTCCCGACTAGTGATGGGAAGTTCGGATCATTTTACCGACTCGGACCTTTGAGTCTCGTTCAGCAAAATGAA